CTGTTGGTAAGAGATGAGCTCATATTCTGATAGATTTGGAACATTTTAGAAAGAAAAAGTCAGTAAATATTGCTAATTCAAGATAAGGCATGCTGAGAGACTCCTTCTTTACTAAAGACACCTAAAGTCAGAAACTATATTTAAAACCCATAGAACAAAGTGTACAACGTGGTAAACAAGGTAAAAACTGCACTATTGCAACTTTTACAATTTTTTATTTAATTTATTTTCTAAATTTTATGTATAATAAGTATATATGGGTGTGTGTGATGCTAAGGTACCCTGTGAAACATCTAGGTGTCAAAACAGGTAAGACTCACTAATAGGGTTTGATTGCACATATCCTGCATAGAAATATCTGAAGAAATGTTGCATCTTCATAATTCACCCAAAGGAAGGATGCCAAGCTGTCAAAGGTGGAATGTTACATGTTGAGGTGCCAAGGTTTATATGGAGAGAGAAAAAAGAAAACAAGAAAATTACGTTAACTCCAGCAGACCATAAGGAATGTTGCCAAGTAGCATGTAGGGGCAAGTACAAAGAGTGATTACACCCACCTCCACCCCAACAGACACACACACCCACACACACACACACACACACACACACACACACAGGCAGAACACAATAATGAGTCAAAGGAAGCCTACCATACTGCATAGCATTTTCAGACAGATATGCAGTAGTTTATGTTCAGTCTGGCCCAATAAATGTTGAACATGAGGTGCTTTTCGACACATTTATTCATTTTTAAATCAGATATATTTAGACTTTGTTGCTGAAAACCTCATTCTATGGCTTACCAAAATCCAGGTTCCAGTAATGTTCTCTGCAATCTATACCTCAATATTTCTAAATAGTAAACGCTTTTTTTGTTGGCATCCTTCCTAAATGACTCACTGCGGTAGCTTTTGAAGGATAGATATAACAATAACTTGATTGTAGATGCACCACCATCTTTCATATATGAGTGAGGTGATCCAGGCAGTGGCCCACCCACCGAATGACCTTAAGACATAAAAAAAGAATGTACTGTAAATTTTATTATGAAATTAAAATATTTCGAAATAAATATATTTTTTAGATTTTTTAGATGTGCTTGTAAAGCTGTTTCGTTCGTCATCGGATTGGTGATGTATTTCTGCCCTGGGGCACAAAAATCTTTGGTTATTGACTCTTGTTAAAAGTTGTACATGTGCAGTTGCTCCTCTGCAATGAAAAAGGATAGAAGATTAAAAATACTTGCAGAAGGAACTGTCGTCACAATCGTAATGCGGCTAATTCACAGGTCAGGTTGTGGAAGTGAAATCCCTTAAAGCAAACTTACCAAGAGAAGCTGGAGGTGAAACTGTGAAACAGATGGAGATGGTACACCTGGTCTTTTACATGGTTTAGCAAGAAGGCTTGGCTAACTGCATGCAGCAAGGCTAACGCTTTATTCTGCTGCCTTGACTGCCTGCCTCTTTTTATAATTTCAGGATCTGACCAAGTACTGGTGACCTGTCCAGGGACTGGCGACCTGTCCAGGGTGTGCCCCGCCTCTCGCCCATTGACAGCTGGAGATAGGCACCAGCACCCCTTGTGACCCCACTTGGGAGTAAGCGTGTTAGAAAATGGATGGATGGATCTGACCAAGTATGGATAAAAACAGCTAGGACTGATTTAAAGCACTTTGAAGAAAAGGCAAAGAAGCATGAACAATCTAGGAATCGCATTGAAAATAACATAATATAGTGTACTTTTTCTAGGTGTTAATTAAACACATTCTCAGAATATAGAAAAAAAAATGTATATATCAAAATATATAAAGCTGACAAATAGCTTATCCGTTATGAAACTGGTACATTATTTTTTATTTTAGATTTGTGTTACAATAATGGACCATGCAAAGCACAGATTTGCCTTCACTGAAACTGAAATCTCGATTACAATGCAAATTGTAATTGATGATAAAGAAATGGTTTGATTGATTAAATGACAGAGCCTCAGAGGAAACAAATTATGTACAAAAAGTAAACCTGTACATGAAATTATGTTTTTGTTTTTACTAAATGTTAATGTTTTTTGCTGTTGGCAATAATGCAAATATACTGGTGTGGTCACTTAGTATACTTTTGATTGGGTTTTGGTATGCGTCTATTTTTTATTTTCTGGTGAAAACTCCACCAGCCACCACTGGATCCGGGGAAGGTTGACTCCAACTGCTTGATCTGAAGTATTTAACTTTATTGTCAAATCAACTGTCAGAGGCGAAGACTACAAGCACACAAATAAATGTATATACTGAGCTGATACTTTCTGTGATTATAAACTGTTGAGAGAACATCAGTACATATGATATTTTCTTTCTTTTTTTTTTTTTTTTTTTGCAGGTTGAGTAAGTAGCCTGCAAGAGAAAGATATTTTAGGTCAGGTTTTATTATAACTTTGTCCTCCATTATTTTAGAAGTCTGATATTGAACCTGTTCTGTTTTCAGCAGTCTTGATCCTATTTGTCTTTTGGTGACGGATGCAGCCCACCAACAATGTGGGGAAGGATTTTCCTTCTTTGTGGGCATCTAGTTTTAAACACGAAAAAGGCACACCTGCGGGGCTTTCAGTGGTCTCTCTAAACTTAGATCCTTCAGCCACGTTTGTCTGCAGTCTTCTTGAATAATAATCCATTGATCCCAGGAATAATCCTGCTTCACTTTAGGTGAAGCCCACTACACACCATTAGGTACAAAACTAATTGCTTTTCTACAGCTTCAGCTGTCATCTCACAAGTGCTCGCAAAGATCCTGCAACACGAACAGGAATGAAGTGAATATGGGTTAATTTAAAAAGAAAGTTTTTTTTATAGTGATTACTGACTTTGAGGGACAATAAATCCCAATTTTTTTCTTAAATTTGACTGTTTTGGCTTCTTGGCCTTCCAAGAGTGGCTAAAAGAAATTGGTCTGTGTTTTTTTATACTTATACCCGCTAACATATTAGTTGCTGATTTCTCTTCAACTGTAAAACAACAACAATAATATATATATAATTTTTTTAAATTAAATCGTTGATTTAGAATTGTTAGAATGTTGGAATAAATAAACTCATTCAAATAAAGGTTAAATCTTTCCAAATAACGCATGTGAGACTATAAGTTAAAATTACTGGGTTTAAAATTAAATAGCTTTTAACACAAAGCAATAAGTGTGAAGGGAGGTTTTGATGCAGTAGATTTGGAAAGTCTAAGTATCATAAAAGGGCATAGCCTAAAATGCATAAGAAATAGTCCACAAATAATGAAAATTCAGAGTGACAAATAGTTTTTATATCCTGGTGACATTTTTTTTTACATGTTTTAAAATTCAGGCATAATCATTGTAAGCTGTTTGCAAATATTACATTAATAAGCTCATCGTCTCTTTAAGGCAGTCTTTGGGTTTGGTTAAAGGAAAGCTTTTACTAGCCAGTACACCTCAAGGCCATGCACTTACATCCAAAAGGGCACACGTCAAGCTGCATTACTTTCTCACTGTGCCTCATGTCAGCCGCTTGGTTTTGGCCAAGCAAATGTTGAGCCCATTAATTCATTCAGTTATTTACTTATACATTTATTTATTGTCTCTCCAGTGACTAATTGGTGAGATCACTATCAACAGTCTATTTTTAGATGGCTGATTTTGGCTCAGAAAATCTCTCTCACTGCTGCTTAGCTTGTGTCAAACACAAGAGGGCGCTGTTTCCCCGACCACTCAGATTCCCTGTGTGTATAAAATGTAGAAAACTATTAAGCAGAAATGTCTGAAAAAAGCTATTTAGCTGTTTCTTCATATTATTTATATAAATTGTTTTGTTTAAGTGTTCAAAAGTTTTTTATTACACACAATTTCACTTAGCATAGGCTCATTATTTAAATGTGGCAATATTTAAATAATTAATATTACACAATGATTATTTGATTATACCTTTAACAGAAGCAACAAACATTTTGTTTTCTCACAAAATAATGCCAGTGGGTTTTCTATTTTGTCCTCATCTGGTATGTGCTGCTGCTCTGAAATAATCATATGCAAATTCTTCGCATAATTTTTCTTAATCCTCTCAGTCTTTCAACAAATGCTGCTTATGTGCTTTTTGTGACTCACTGCTTGTTGACATGTTTCTGTCATAGGAGGGTTTTCCAGATCTAATTTGATTAGTTTGAGAACGCATCAAGAAAAAAACAACAACAACAACAACAAAAAAAAAAACATGTAAGAAACCGTTTTGTTTTAATTCATAATTCATTGCACTGAACTTCATGATTTTCCCTCTAAAAACTCAGGGCAAACAGCAAATCAGCCAACTCTACATTAAGGGATCTATTCATAGTGAAAATGGCATATGCAAGTTCTATTTGAGGTTTGGATATAAGGGGATTTGAACACTTTTGTTTCTGGTACAAGATGGACTGATCTGAATATCTTAGAAAGTTTTGAGTTTCTTTAAAGTTTCACACAAAAAAAGTTAACGGTTTCCAGAAAATAGTATGAAAAAGAGAAACAGATACACCAGTTAAACAAGATATAAACGTAAAGTTTCTCAACCATATGTTACAACCAGTTAAGCATGTTGAAAAAACACATTAAGTCTAAAAAAAAGAAAAAAAAAAAGCAACTAAGCATCTTTGTCCTTTTAGATTTGTACAAATTTGTTTATTTATTAATATCTTTTGGGGGTGCTAAGCAACTGCTTAGTTTGCTTATACCTCGGGCCAGCTTTCATTTGGGCCTCATATCTATGAATAGAACATAACAGCAGAAATTAAAAGAGGAAAACTTAGCAGACTAACAGAGTTGAAATCAATAAAACTTTAGCCAAATGTGATATTTTACAATGATTTTAATCTCATTATAGAATTCTAGATATTTTTGCTTGAACCTGCAGCTCGTTGCCATCCCAGATCCTGCACCTCCACCCTCTTCCCTCTCTCCACCTCCTACTCCTCCTCCTATTTCCACTCTGCTGTCTCTTTAGCGCTGCAGGTTGAATCCATTGCCCCTATTTCCTGTCACATGGCTTGGAAATAGGATCGCCGTTTTCTACTATCTGCTCTGTCCTCCGCGGTGTCAGAGTTAGTTGTTATACCTGCAGTGACGCTGAGACACTTGTTTTTGAGACGACCCTTTCCCAGACTGCTGCCAGTTAAGATACCAGCCAGCGAGCCAAACAGCCGGGCAGCCAGCGCGCGTACCAGGCTGCACTTCACCTGAGAGGGAGATCTCCTTCAGACTTTTTAACGCACACCATGGATTCCTGGAGGGCCACATCTGCGCTTCTCCTCACAGGCTTTATCACCACGGCGGCTTTTCGGCATTTCGACAGCGGTAAGTGGAGCTGTCCGGTTCTCCTGCGCCAAAGTTACGCTTTACGCGCCGCGCAGGCTGAACGGACAATGCGTAAAGATATGCTTTAGGATCGGAATCAAGCTGAAATTAGCCAGCTTTATAACTTCCTTCATGGTTCTATGCATTCTATGTCCTATAGTTAACATTTTTACAATATGAAGTCAAAGCGCAAAGATCAGATGGGATAAAGTTGGAAGATAAATGTAACTGATCTGTTCATTTATCCTCAAACTGTATCCTCAACAGTCAGCCCGATCAACTTTGTAAACTAACATTGTTTTTTACTAAAGTAACTAAAGGATCGTTTCAATTTGAGCCAAAAATAAATGGATTTTAATATACATCTTCATCGTTTACTTTTCTCCAACATCATGCGCTCTCGTGTTTACATCTGCTTGAACAGCCTCAAAGCACTCCGTCCAGATTCTCTCATTTTTAGACTTTTAACGATGGAAACAGAATATTCCTACTTTCCATAATGACATCGTCACAAGCCGCACCGCGCTGCTGGCTTATGTTAATCTCCCCTAACCGTCCAGACATCGGTCAGCCCCGGAGTGAACCTCAGTCATCTGATATTATCCCTTTAATTCGCCACCGAGTTCGGATTTATACGCAGGGAAAGAATCAATCCGTGCGCACGGCTTCAAAGTCCTCATGTCGTGCGTTTTGTTTTGAATGTGAATATCTAATAATGATGACCGCACAAACCGCGCTTCCCTTTGCTGTAATTTTCACTGCGTTTCATGTCAGAGCAGCAAATCCTCTTGCTTTCCTTTTTAATTTTTTTGTCTCTTAATTATAGCCTTGGATTTCAAATTAGAGGGTCCACCATCTGGGCCAGTGCGTAAGTGCTCCCATGTGTACCTATGTATTAACAAAGTATTTAAAGCAATGGTATTCCCCTCATAACACTAAGAAGGGGGAAGAAAGAAAGAGAGAGAGAGAAAACAGTTCATGTTTAGTTTGTGTCAGCTGTGCCACATTTACTGTACAGTAAAACAATAATTCATAGGATGTAGAATAAATCACTGTTAATGTCTCTGGCGACTTATACTGCATATATAAAGTTGATATGTTCAGTTTGTGCAAATAAAACATCAACATAGGTTCAAACTACAAGATATCATGGATGAAATGTTTACATTAAAATCACTTTTACCAGAATAAGGTAACACATTTCCTATGGTACCCAAGGAAAGCAGAATTAGTTGGATATGAAAGAGTTTTGGAAAAAGAGAGACAGGAAGATGTGTTATGATAACATTAAATACCCTCCACTGAAAAGAAGTTAGAGCCTGTTCATTCATTTAAAATTCTTCAGCAGGTGGCGATCTTTCTTTGACTTGTACACCCGGGACGTGCATCATCTTATCAGCGCTAGCCAGCTGCTGTTGCTTTCTGGAAAGTGCATCTAAAATGATTACGCTGGAGAGATTCCAGTGTACCGGTAGACTGCAGAATTGCATCAAGCAGAAGTCTAATAAGTGTTTTTCACCAGAGGGGAGGCACAGCGGCCACACATGCAGCGAAGTACACCCACATGCAAACAAACACATGCATTTATCCAAGGCTTTAAGGGAGCATGATTCTAGCAGTGGGGCACTTAATCACCTTTATACCACCTGCAGGCCCTTGCTAAGGTATTCCAACTTTATGCAATTCTGTCAAGTTTAAAGCACAAGATTAGTATCAGATGGTTCACCAGATGGAAGTTGTGGAGAAAGGTTAAAGTAGTCATAGTTTATAAATCGTTATCCCAACCTTTAAACACATTAGACCTGGTTTGAGCCATCATATGAATATATTTTAAAGCACAGCTGCAATATCAACCAGAGTAAGACAATCCACCTATATTGGCAAGCCATAAAAGGATAACATTAATCAGAGAAGCAGCTGAAAGCTGTAGGAAACCACAACTTACGCACAAGAATCCTTTCAACAAACACCTATTAGCTATTGAAGGAAGCTGTTGTAGAAAGTGATGAAAAAGTTATGTAGGTACACAGCAAACAGGTGGAGGAAGACATTCTGGCCAGATGAGACTGAAATATAGCCTGTTTTTTGTACAAAAAAAAGAAAAATAATATTGTGTGTGAAAGAAAACTAATGTGCCTCACTCAGAAAACGTTATCCCCTCACTAACACATAGTGGTGGCAGCATCATGATGGGTGTCTCCCATCTCTACAGCATCAGAGCTGATGGTGTAGGGGAGTGGTGGCCTACTGGTTAGGGCATTGCGCTTGGAATCCAGAGGTTCTGAGTTCGAGCCCCACTCCCACAGACTGCAAAGACCCTTAAAGACCCAATCTGCTCCCCGTTCGCCGCACAATGGCAGCAAATTGCTCCCCAAGTGTATGGGTTAAATGCAGAGAGTTAATTTTGTTGCTTATACTTGTGACAGTGTAATGACAATAAAAGCTGAAAAACAAAAATATGATCAGATGTAAATTCATGGCAATGCCAGAAGAAAACCTGTCAGAGATAAAAAAAAACAAAAAACCTGAGAGCTATTCACTGATTTGTCTTGGTCCCATAGAATCCTACTTGTGGCTGTATTTGATAAGATTTATAAAACGTGCTTTTGGAAAAAGTACTTCAATCATTTTCCAATTCACTGTATGATAAAATAAAACTAATCTGTACAAGACATCTTATTTCCCTGATATACTGACCTGTTCCCAGTTCACCAAGAAATTCCCACATGGTCTTGGGTCAGAGTGGGCCCTGCGGTTGCTCTCTTGGCTACTACTTTGGGCCCTTCGCACCAAGTGTACACATGAGGGGAAGCCGATTCCTGTCATAGCTGTCAGGATGAGCCATAATTGAGTTGCTCTCTAAGCCGGTAATGATGCGGCTCATGATGTTGGTTGCCTGAACAAGCCCAAGCTGGTTAATCAGAAGAGATTTATTTTACTCTTGATGTTTTCCTGTAACCATGACTGGTCTTGCTACGGGGTTAATAGCTAAGGTCAGTGCTGAAACAGAGAATATGTGTGTAAGAATTAATGCATCGTTTTACTGAAATAGAAACTGCCAGTTTTTTTTTCTTTTTCTGATAAAGGAAATGCAGCATGTTTGTCAACGTGCAGAGGTGTGCAAAATATTGTCCAGAGTGTACATGCCGATGTTTGGGTTCTTAATAGTTTGAGTAAAAAATTTCATGTGCTCTCTTGCAGACTGTTTGAAGAGAAGATAAAGCATAGCAGGACTTTGCAGATGGTTTATACTTTTTAAATTCTATCTTTCTGACCAGAACCTGATTATTTCAGTTATCTTTCATTAGTCTTTGCATTTTGATTTTTGACAAGAATTTGTAATTTAAGGTTTTTGTTACAGTCACTCAAAGACAGACTGATTTGGAATTGGAAATGGAACAAAAGCCTTGGTTTAAATCTGAAGGCCAGAAATGGAAGTGCCAGTTTTATTTCTACCTTTTTATGCCGATGAACGCGAAACATTTTCAAATGGAGTGATATGGCATCGTATCACCTTTACTGAACGTCTTTAAAGACAGATGTCAGCCTCAAGGCAGTTTAATTTGATTAGTTTCCTTGTACAGACCAGGTTTTCTAACATCATTTGAATATGTTCAGTATAGTTAATGTCAACTAGCCTGCTGTATCCTTTCCTAAAGCTGTTTTGATGTATGTTTGGTATTATTTTCCAATCCAATATTCCTTCTGTGCCTATTCATCAATCACTTGACCCGAACAGTTCTCATCAAATGATTGTGAAATTGGATTGAAAAAAAATATATCCCTAAAAGTCAAGAATATCATCGGCAGCTAAATGCTGGAGTTACTTTTTGCTAAGTAGTTTTGTTTATATCCACATTGAATAAGATGGTGTCAAGCAAGAAGCTCCTACTCCAAACATGGCCAAATTCCTTTGGGGAAAAAAACAAAAACAAAAAAACTGTCAAGCATGGTGGTGGTAGCACCATCCTGTGGGTCTGTTATGCCATTAGTGCTTTTGGTGCATTGCATGTATTTTAAAAGGAGGAATACCAGCAAATTATTATAATTCAACTTACGGTATATCAATATCTATTCAGTCTGCAGCCACATGAACACAATTGAGTATTATAATCCAGGTGTTTATCCCAGCATCAGAAAGGATTTAAAACTGGATAAAGCAGGCTAACATTAAGCTTCTGAAATTCTCAATAAGTACTGTAAATCTTTTGTGGACTACGCTTAAACTTTATTTTCATGCTGCTGAACCAGTGGACCATGTCTCTCAAGAGGAGTAGTGAAATGCACTAATTGAATTGTGCCATAAACATAAGATCACTAAATCTTTTTACTACCAAGACTTTCCAACAGGAATCCAGCTCTCATTTCTTATTACTTGTCTGAATGCAAATTTACTCAAGAGGTAAAAAGAGAGGTGAAAAAAATGTCAATTTGACAATTTATTGGATTGCATTTGGAAAAGCTAACAACAAGGCTTCAGGTATTAGCATATACTTTTGTAACTCTTTGTTACAAGAGTGTAGAATACTTAAAGGCACAAGACATTGGAGTTTATTAAACTCAGCACCAAATTATTTATTTATTTTTTATAATTAAAGCAAACTTTTGCAAGTATGAACAGCTTCTAACTAAAGTTCTTTGAATCCAAATGGATTCCTGTACTCCTGGAACTAATTTTCTTCTGCACACTAAAGTCAAGAATAATTGTGGCTACTGGACAAACCAGCCTGCCTTTGGATCCTTGGCCTCACCCTGCCAGTTGGCTCATGTGTTGGAACTCCATGAACGCCGTGTCCCCCTTGGTGTTTCTGATGGAGGAAGAGGCGCTCACTAAGGCCCTTCAAAGAGACGTGTGGAATGTGAAAAAAATTGCAAAGTGCTGTATCTCGCAAACAAAGCTGTCACCTAACAATGTTGTGTCGAATTTTAGAGAAATGTTTGAACATAGGACTGAGTTTGTCTCAAAACTGCCAACTGTCAGTGGTAGTTGTGCTATAAAG